GGACATTTCGTGAATTGAAAATGATTTTAAAGGAGTTAAAGAAATGGCTTTCATTAGCTTAACTCGTTTACCTTCTCGCCATCTAGAAAGCGCAGCCAATCTCAGCGTGACATCTCTCATCCATTCCCATTCTGACGAGAAAAATTGCAAAAGATTGCTCCAACACATGACTGAGCCTTAGCGAATGTGTTTTGTGAGGAAAAAATGAGCATGGTGCGCTCTGACAAAAAGATGAATATCAGCGCAAACTGCTGAGGATGGGCTTTGCTTGTGTACTGAATGTAGAAGGGCATGGCTTAACTGATTAAAAATGTATAGGTTATTACAGTAGATCAGTTGTCTTCAGTATAAAAGTTTGTGGTTAGTAAAAGTCCACAGCAAGAACACACTCAAATAATTGTTTTTGCAGCTTGTTTAAACTACTTAAAATTAGTTGTAACATGACAATTCTGGAGTTTTTTTGGAAACAACTTAATATGTTTAATAAACTTAAATTTGTAAAAACATTTGGATTATTAATTCAATGTGTGTTGGATCAACATGAAAAAATTGTGTGGAACCCAGCTTTTTATTCAGTGTAAACAATGTAAAGCCGCCTTGACAAACGACAAGTGACAGACCTAAAGTCATTCATTTCCAATGGAGAACCAAGTCTGTGAGCCGCGTGGAGCTTTGATCATATCTGCATGTGGAAAATTCGGATCTGATTTGAGCTGCGGATCCATTAAAATATTTGAACTTCTGCAACTAGACATATGCAACCGGCCGACCAGATGTGATGAATTCCATTGCTGTCCATGCGCATCAGATGAGAAATAGAAGTTTTTTGTTATTTTTTTTGTCCGAAAAAGTCTATATTAAAAAACATTTCTATTCATAAATGAGTAATAAAAAATAATACTATTTTTAATCTTGTCTCCACATTCCGTACAAAATATTTAGCAGTCTTTGATGAGTTACTAGTATTCATTCATTCAACCTTGGTGAACACACAAAGAATGAAGGCTCTTGCTTTTGCACTCCTTAATTTCGGACACCATCGCAAGAATCCACGAGAAGCTTCCCATAGTGCACGACAAAACTAAATATTCTGTGCGACTGCCACAAGGGGGCGTATTCCAAAAGTCGTGTCTAAATGTCGTGTGCAGTGTAAAGGCAGCTTAAGGATTTATAAAAACTGTTTCTTCAGCACCAAATCAGCATACATACTCTAAAGAAATTTGATGGAAGTTCAGCTGTCAGCAAGAAGCCTGCCAAAATTTAACGGCCTAAAGACAAATGTGGACTTATGAGAGTCTATTTTTTCTTTTCAGATCTAGTGGACATCAACAGTGTCAAATGACCCCCAGGTAAAGGTATTGAAGGCCTTAGTTCACCGTGAAGATTGTGAAGCATTGTAGTGCAAAAATCACAGGATAGGGATGATTCTCATACTGTGGCATTGTGCCTATTTATTGTTTACCACTTATCATAGATCAGAGATTATGAGATTGTGGAATTATTAGAGGGAATGCCCCTAAGATTTGTGTTTTAACGAGACAAAAACTACAAGGGAGCAAGATAGGTTTCAGGCAAAAGGGATTGAGATAATGGAGTGGCTCAATCCCCTGGGTAACACTTTACTTGAAGGGGTGTTCATAAGATTGTCATGAAACCCTAATAATCATGACATGACATTTGGCATGAATGAGATTGTATGTATGCATATGACAAATGTCATTAGGTGTAATTCACTCTGTTATCCCGTTTTAAAAGCAAAGTTGTCATTGTTTGAGATGTCCTTGTTATGACAATTTAACATAAAACAAATACATCATAACCGGTTTTGACTAACTTGTAATAAACCTGATCGTAAACATGATTGTCATGGCCATTGTACTTGTGTCATGAACTTCATAATATCATCATAAGCTACGTTTCCATCCATCTATTTTTATGCGCTTTTTGGATATGTGCAAAAGAAAAACAAAAGCGGTTGATGGAAACATCAGGATTCACATCAATTTTGAAAATGCGCATTAAAAACGTATGCGCATAACTGAACAGGATAAACTTTTTATTCGATAAGAAAAGATGTGCATAAACTATGATGGAAACACTTTTACTAAACAAATTCCAGTTTGCTCATTAAAAAAAGGTGATGTGATTTTGTTATGAGAGATCATGTGATGAGAAAAATGTGTGTGAATGGACAAACCAGCAGGCTGAGGACATTGTAAAATATCTGAAATGTTATTTTGGTCATTCTAAAACACCTTACCATTTCAGTATTAGTGTTATTATATTATTAACTACCTCCAGAATTGTTAAGTGTCTACTCAACTTCAAATGCCACTATGCGTTCATTGAGTGTCGGCATACTGTCTTCTGAGGCACAAGTCATTTTTTAAATAAAAAGAAGCTTCATGCAGTTTCTGCTACTGCACTAAATTCCATTTTTACTGTTGATATTTGGCGCCAGTTTTTCATAAAGTGACGATTTGTTCGCTTTGACTCATTGGATGTAAACACTGCTTTATTTGCACATCTTTTATGCGATATTCCAGTTTTGTGCATGAGGTTTAAAAATGTCTCTCTATATACATCTCTGGAGAGCACCAAATAGGTCCCAGGAGCTACGTTTTTTTTTGCAGTTTTTGTTTCCATGAATCCATCAGAGGTTGCATGCTTAGGCTTTTTAAGATCTCAAATTTATATTGTGAGTGCCATTTATGCCTGCTGTTCTGTTGTAAATCCACCAGAGGCCTGAGACTGACTGACCAATCAACTGACCCACCCTCCCCCTTCCCTAAACCCAACCAATAGTATTTTAAAAAGCACAGATTGAGCACCCCACACTTCCCTAAACCCAAACGACAAATTTAAAAAGCAATTCAGAAAAAGAAAAGCCCTCATCTGATTTTTACCACGTTTACCACATTTTCACTCTGTTATTTACTTGATTATTTTATCTTTTGGATTCTGTTTTTGTCTTACCTGCTTTCTCAAACCCTTTTGTCATGGTCAACTCCTTTCTGTGTCTCAAGTCTAACTGGACAAACTGGTAACAGCGGGAAAGCCAAACATATGAAGGTAAGTGGTGAGCTTGCAAGCGCGAAAAGGAACGGTGCCATACCACTCCCGTAGTGTTCATTTAAAAAATGAAATGCAGCCACGTACTTCTGGCTACAAACAGTTGAAATCAGAAGTTTACAACCACTGTATAAAAAGGCACATAACCTTTTTTTTTTAAAGAAGTCAGATGTTAATGTGACTAAACTTTTTCTCTTTTAGGTAAGTTATGATTATCAAATTTGGTTCTGTTATGCTTAATAGCAAAATAATGAGAGAGATATTTTTGAGAAATTGTTAGAACTTTTCTTGAAAGTCAAGTTTAAATATAATAAGATTATTTTGCCTCTGAAAAAGCTCAGATGATGGTGTCAGTGTTTTGGAAGTTTCTGGTTGGCTAATTGACAATATTTGATTTAATTGGAGGCACAACTGTAGAATATTATTTAATTAAAAACACACTGCTTCATTTAGTGACAATATGGAAAAATCAACAAGCCAGAATCAACAACAAAAAAAGCCAGATTACAATTTGCTAAATTACACTGGGAAAAGTAATAATTTTTGGAGACATGTCCAGTGGTCTGATAGAACTAAGATTGAACTGTTTGGCCATAATGACCAGTGTTACATTTGGAGGACAAAGGGGAAAGCTTACAACCCTAGGAACACCATCCCAACTGTGAAGTATGGGGTCGGCAGCATTATGTCGTGGGGCTGTTTTGCTGCAGGAGGGACTGGTCCACTTCACAGCATAGATAGCATCATGAAGAAAGAACATTATGTAGAAATACTAAAGCAAAATCTCAAGACATCAGCAAGGAAATTGGAAATTGACCACAAATGTTTTCCAAACAGACCATGATCCTAATCATACTGCCAAATTAGGTAAAATGTCCTTTAAGGACAACAGAGTGAATGTTTTGGAGTGGCCATCACAAACCCCTGAGCTCAATCCAATAGAAAATTTGTGGGCAGAGTTGAAAAAGCTTGTGCGAGCAAGACAGCCTACAAATCTGACTCAGTTACACCAATTCTGTCAAGAGGAATGGGCCAAAATTCCTTCAAACTATTGTGAGAAGCTTGTGGAAGGCTACCCAAATTATTTGACCAAAGCAATACAGTTTAAAAGCAAAGGTAAAAAAAAAAAAACCTAGGAAATGGATGTAAACCTTTGACTGTCTAGAAATTAATAAAAAAAAATTCTCAAAAAATCTGTCATTATTCAGGCATTTAGCAAATGTAAATCATTTAGGTAATCTTAACGGACCTAAAATAGTAAACGTTTAGTATGACTTACCATCAGACATTTTTTAAAAATGGTTATGTTCCTTTTTTTTAGTGTAAACTGTAATTCACAATTTACAGAAATCTGTTTAGAGCTACGTTTTCACAATGAGCCTATGCTGTATTTGCAATGTAGTTAAGATTATAGTTGACCAGACAATACAGTTAAGTTTGCGCAGTCGTTTCAGATTTTAACCTTGGAGTGAAAGTTTATCATTTCCATGAGTTTTTAAGACCTGACTGTAAGAATTTGAAGCAAATGTAAGCCATTTGAGTACAATACATTAAACATTTGTAGCTTAAAGATTAATTGTACATTATATAACTATTTACTCAATTAAAATGATACAGTGTTTTTATTATTATTCAGTGATGATTTAAGTTCTGCTTCTGAATTCTGTCTGACTCCCCAGAAAATCATAAATCCTTGCTTATTTGCATCTTTTCTCTGCTGCATTTAACTTTGCTTGTCATTTTTTTATTATGTTTTATGCAGATACAGAATCATCCTAATCGGATGAAGTTGAGGTGATGCATATGTTAAACATGTTAAAACAACAGCTATGCAACTAAAAGTTAACTAACTTTTAACTAAAGTAAAAAAAAAGGTTTGTTTTCAACATGGTTTCAAGTAAGAAAAGAAAAACCACAACACATTGTTCAAATAATCAAGTTTGATACCGAAAAAATAAAACGTTTATTTGCTTTTTCATTTGCTTTTGCTTTAAAATGTCTCCTTCTGACCCTCACTAGGTAAATACAACAGGAAATATGAGGTTATTTATCTGAGGTTTCGTATTAAAACCTGGTCTTGGCAATGGAAACTTTCCTAATCCCTCTAAAAATCGACAATCAATTATGCTGCAAAGGCAATACAATGCAATCCAAAGTACAATCAGACATTCCACTGAAAACAACTATACTATACATGTACATGTACACATCGTGACTGGTTCATAACTATACTTATATTTAAAAAATGTACAGTATCACATTTTTTTGTGTCTCAGTGCAAATGATGTTTAGAAAGAAAAGTAAAAAAAAAAAGAACAATCAAAAGAAAGCAGTGCCCTTGATATATCCACAAAATGTTCTTCCTTTGCATCCTCTAAACACAATAAAACATTTGGTCGTTTGAGTGCCAGAAAAACAATGAATAAATTACATGACACGTTTTTCAATTTTACAGTCACTGTCAAGTAGCAGCAGCAAAATCAGCTCAGATGCTTTAGATAATGCACTAATAACAGTGCATCGCTGCACTGACACAAACCATTCCCAGATACAAACAATGCAAACCATATTAACAATAATAGTAATCCAAATAACCATGTTATGACGAAAAACTTGTACTGTACCTACACAACCGGTCGAAAGTGTGGGATCGATATGATTTTTAAAATGTCTTTCAAAGAAGCCTGTTTTGCAAAAAGCCTGTTCTGCTCACCCAAGTTGCATTTATTTGAACAGAAACAGTAAAAACTGTAACATGTTTAAATATTATTACAATAGCTGCTGTCTTGTTCAATAGTTTCATTTATTTGTGTGATTTAAAGTCACACAGTGTCAAATAACTCTTCAGAAATCATTCTAACATCTGCACCTCAAGACACATTTTTTGTTATTTTCAGTGTTGAAAACTGTTGAGCTGCAGCCAATATTAGTGGAAATAGTAGTACAGTAAATATACAACCTAAATATTCAACCTTGATACACTATATAAGGACAATTAATGATTGAGAGCCAATAACAATTGATCATAACAGACCAATAAACCAGCAAATGAATATGATTTTATAAAAGAAAAATCAAGTGACACCGAAAATGTAGCTAAATACATCTTTAAATAATAGGAATATGCTTCATCTTAAGAAACATTCATTAAGAAAACAGTTGTTTAAAATTTGAATCTAATTTTACAATTTTACCGTCTTCCTTGGTGAGCACAATAGGCTTCTCCTAAAAAAAAAAACATGAAAAAAATTCAAATTCCAAACTTTCGACCGGCAGTGTATTTGCGAGTGTGTGTGTGTCTGCGAGCATGTTTTGCTCTAAAGTTATTTACAGTGCATCAGTAAGTTCTCTGGCTTTGTTTTCCGTGTTTTTGTATCCCAAAGGAAGGAGAGGAAAGGCAGGTAAAAGTCTGAGCGGGCGCGAGGGTCATCAGCTGGTGCAGATGCTGTTGATGGTGATGATGGCGGGATCCACCAGTCCCATCTCCTCATGCTCGTTGACGCAGAGCTGGTACCCGCAGCCGCGCCGCCGCTTCAGGGGACTGACTTTGACGTCCGGTTTGGCGCGGGGCGGCAGGAGGAAGCCAACACTGCCGGCGATCAGCATGTGCCAGATGCTGTGGATGTAGAAGTAGTTCTCCTCTGTCTCCACGAATGCGTATAAAGCCACTGCTGATGTGGCGATGGTGGTGCCTGGGAACAGGAAAAACACCCAGCGCTTCCAGGTCGGAGGGTAACAGCGGCGCCTGCGGATGGTGCGCACCGTCTGAGGAACACAGAGATATGTAGAAAAATACAATGAGTTATGAACAAATCAGCCAAAAAAGTCATAGTTACTAGAAAAATATTGTACTATGTGATAGCATTGCAAAAACAGGAGCGTAGCACCAGATGTTGGGCTCCATCACGAATACAAGATGGTGGACCCCTCACAAGACAATCACTCATCAAACATTTAGGACTACAGTGTTAAAAGGAAAAAATTAATAAATAAAAACAGTATGGCCTTAAGATATGGCAGAAACTGCGAAATTAGTTTTTTAAATTTTACATTAAACCACCGTATTTTGTTATTTTATAGCATTATACGCCAGTGTTTTGAAATAGGAACATCTACACATCCTATATTTTGTTACACAGACAAAGCCACAACCATAAGCATGTGGTGTTGAAAAAGTCATATGACGCAAGGTTGTAATAGTTTTAGATTTTTTATTAGTTTTAGTTTTTATTTCGTTTCGACTTTTGTTTTCAAATTCAGTTAGTTTTAATAAGTTCTTAGAGGCAGATTTACTCGTTTTTATTAGTTTCTATATTTTGAAATTGTTTAGTTTTAGTTTAGATTTATTAGTTTCAGTATTAGTTTGAGTTTTTTGCTTGTTTTTTTCTAAATAAGGATATTTGTTAGGAGCAAGATTCAAAATCATCAGAATAAATATTGTATAATAAAAGCTCAACCAAAGAAGGGCTACATTTTTTGAGACAAGAACTCTACCATTTACTCATGCTCAAATTCAAATACAAGAGCCCACAAGATAGCAGCCTCAAGTAAAATATGTATGCAAGGCTGCTTCTGGGGTTAGATACAGTATTGATGGGAAGTTCTTTTGTCACAGTCTTCCCATATTTGGGAAGTTTGGTCTCGGCATATCGAAAAATATGTAGTCATGATCTGAAAAGTTTCTTACAATTAAGTGTTGCAACCCAACTGAAGCATGATTCACTTATTTAAATTCCATTACGACTTTCTGTTATGAAATAAACTTACGTTTCGCCAGATCCTCTCATTTAAGCCCTTGGTTTACCTGCTCTGCAGTTGTTCAAGTTTAGTTCAGTCACAGCAGGCTGTCATGTACTGTTGGTGTTCGGTTCACTGAATCACGCATGCGCAGGATTATCGGTTCACCGCTTCTTAAATCTGATCTCTTTGTACTGTTCAAATAACTTAATTACTCAGTATATATTGGTTTATTTACAGTCAAAGGGGGTATCAGAGATGTAAAAAGTAAGTTGTTTGTGAATACGTGCTTAACAGCGAGGATGACTGGAGGAGAGCCGGCTTGATCTGGCCTATGGCAGCAGGATTACAGACTCTGAGGTGCCTTAAGGCTGATTTATAGTTTGCGTATGTTATGGCGCAGCCTGCGTGTGGCCGCATAGCCCTCGTCGTCGCCAATGCGCACTTCTCAAAAATAACTACACGTGGAGATGACACGTAGCGCAATGTCTGTGATTGGTCAGGTTGGGATCGCTGATGAGTGTGGGTGGGACCGAGAGCGGCAGGAACCCGTTGGAGCGAGTGTTTACAATCGTCGAGTCCCTAAAGGAGGTCCAGATTCAAAGTTTTGCTTTGTGTTGACCTTATTATTAAAGTTGTTGCATGCCCAGCGGTTCCCACTTCAAAATGAGCGGGTTTCAGCTACTATTAAATTTAGGTAGCGTTCAGAAAAAACGAAACACCAGCGGAGAAACTCGACACTGGAACATAGAAACCTACTGTCAGCTAGCATTTTGGAAGTGTTATTGCAGAGCTTTTTCTAGGCAGCTGCGTGATGGGCACCATAGCGACTGGTGTCTTTCAGTAGAATGTTTAGAACTTTCGTTTACAGCATTTACAGCTGGCAATTTGCACTCTGAAAATTGGCTTCAATAGCGTTTTGAATGGATCACAGAGTGTTTTTGTGACACACAACATTGAAAGGTGTGTGTTAAAGCCATTATAATCTGTTAGATGTGGTTCAAGCGTGAGAGAAAAAAACATTCTTTTGGTTCACGTGTCTGCCGTCCGAAATACAGTGTGTATGCTCAGCGGCTCTTCAATGCGTGCGCACGCACACACAAACACACACATGCAATACTTCACTGCATTATAGAGCAAACCAGATTACTGGTATGAAGCTTAGCAGGTGTGCAAGTCATGCAATTTACAAAAATGACCAATAAAAGTCTGTTATTGATACTTGATACTGGCTGACTTGCATGTTGATTCTAATCGGGAGCCATTTATGTAAGGGGGACAGTACAGGCTACGTGTGTGTCAAACGTTTTGGTGAATTGTTTTGGTTTGGTTGGTTATATATTTGAAAGAAAGAGAAAATGTTGACTTTAGCCATGACGAGGCTTTATTTAAACAGCAGAAGATGCCGTCTGACAACGAGGGGAAAATGCTTCACAGCAGTTGTTTTCCATCCTATTAGATCACATTTCTTAAATGATCAGTCCAGCTTGTTGCGCTGATCGTCCGCAGTATTAGTTCCACAACGTTAAGCGTGAATAAAATAGATTAAAACTATAGTTCAAAGCCGTCAGAATGTGACTGTTTATACGCATCAGCTGCCGAAAAAGTTCTATAGATTTACTTCTAAAAGCCATACAGTAATATTATGTATTAAATACATTTACAAAGACAAAAATGAAGGATGTTTTTGCTATAATTTCAGTTAGCTTCAGTTACACAAAACAGTACACAAAACAGTCTAGTTTTTTTTAAACTCTTGTTTTTATTTTTATTTCAGTTAACGAAAAAAAATTTCTAATCTAGTTTTTGTTTTTCGTTCATTTTCGTTACCTATAATAACCTTTATATGGTGAACCAAGCTCATGACTAGGCCCACCGAAATCTGCGCGCACAGAATTCCGCAGATTTTTTCCCAACAATAATTCTGTTTATTTACTTGAGTAAATGTGTGTAAATCTATATTTATTCAGTTTTTTTAAATTAAGTTTAGTAATATTATTGACCAAATTAAAAATGTTCATCAGATTTATGTACAATGCAGTTTGTACAGTAATATTTTCTATATTTTACTAGATATAATATATGACAAACTTGCTTTTTTAACCATATAAAGTGAATCTTGTTGGATTTGCATTTTAAACATTAAATAAAAGTTAAAAAGATGTTATTTTTTTAGTTCACATATAATTGTATTAGTTATGATACTCCCAAAATAATTCCGCAGAAATCCGCAGACTTTTACCAAAATTTTTAGCAGAAATAGCAAAAGACGTCCACAGATTCCTTCTGGCAATACTCATGACAAACAACAGTGTTGAGCTGTGGTGAAATGCATTGATTCAGCAATTTTCATTCACTTTGCATCCATCCATCCATTCATCCATCCATCCATCCAAATATCTATCTGTCCGTCCGTCCGTCCATCCATCCATCCATCCATCTAAATTTTAAAAAGTGAACATCGAAAACACTGAAAATAATTTACTCACAGTAACCATGCAACAATAAAACGACACACATCTTTGTTATGAAAGTTGCATTTAGCATCTACATGGCTCTGAAATCCAAGCTGACACATGTTGACATCAGATTTAATGCTGCGTCTTGAGAGCAAATAAAGACGCTCTGACGTCCACCGGCTTATAAACGCACACACTTATAAACTTGGACATACAATTTACAGACTCCGCAGGAATTCAATTCTGCAGCCTGTAGGGATCCAGATATTTATGAAGAGCGTAAAGTGCACTGTCCTCCCACACACCACACAGCATTCGTCCTCCTATAATACCAGCACACGCTATTAATCAACTGAGCCAAGAGAAACAAGCTGAACAGATGTGCACGAATATTACAGATCATGTAGACTCAGCAAGTCAAGCGGCATCACTGTTCAAATGATAGGATCAATAAGTCAAGACAACATAAGGCTTTTAGTTAATTTAACTTATTTAAATAAGTAAACAAGTTTAACAACAGAACAGCCAAGATATCAAATTTCCCCAAAACGTTTTAGTCATGCGCTATAGGTGAATTGAGTAAAATAAATTGGCCGTAGTGTAAGTGTGTGAATGAGTGTGTATGGGTGTTTTCTAGTACTGGGTTGCAGCTGAAAGGGCATCCGCTGTGTAATATATATGCTGGATAAATTGGTGGTTCATTCCACTGTGGCCACCCTTGATGAATAAAGGTACTAAGCCGAAGAAAATGAATGAATGTTAGCTCATTTTAAAATACAGATTGTACGGTTGCTTGTTTGTTAATTTTTACTCCTAATAATTTGGCAAATTTCACATTTGACATGAAACAAAATGTTATTTTGATGCCATTTTAGCAAGAGTAACTCACAGATCTAAAAAGAACTAAACAACAAGAACGCATATGATGAGGACATTTAAATAAACAACAACAAAAAAAACTCACCACCCAGATCTCCAGCTAACTTTAAACAGCAAATTGGGAAGTTGGACTCGTCATCTTTAGGGAACCTCTACATGTGTTGTGAGAATCTGTGTGTGTGTTGTCAAACTGATGAAGATGTTTTCTCAATTTGATAGTGATTTTCTATTGGCATGTGTTTTCTTAACTTAAAGGGCATTTGAGATCCCTCGGAAACCATTGATTCTTTTCTGTATTGGTTTTCTTTTCACCCACTGGGACAGCAGTAATCAGTTTTAGTCACAATGTATCAAAAGAGGTGATTTGTAGATGTCACACAGTTATAAGCAGTGTTGGGGTAAGTTAGCTTTGAAAGTAATGCATTACAATATTTAGTTACTCCCCCCAAAAAGTGTCTAGTTGAATTACTTTTTATGGTAAGTATTGTGTAATGTTACTTTTGAGTTACTTCTGCGTAACTTTTTATTACCTAGCTGAGGCTTGATCTCTTTCGGAACATTTTTTTTCTATCTTTGTTTTAATAGAGGAGCTCTGCAACTAAAAACACACGTTATAACCTACACCGCTTTTCCTTTTCTTCAATGCGTTCAAATATTCAAGTAACAAAACAGTTTGTGCATAGTAACTAA